ATGTCCTTGGAGAGCTAGATTGGGACTCTTGCATATAGGTTGCTGGTATAGTTCCAGCCCAGGTGACTAGTGACTGTTTCTGAAATATGTCAAGTCTCAGTCCAAATCTTAGTAAACAGGCTCACCCCAATGAACTTCCTCATGCTGCTTTCCATAGCAAAACCTAAGATTTGAGTACAAGGATGAAGATCAAATTAAACAGTGGTAAGTGTCTCTTGTGTACCAGCCCAGCCAGAACTACTGTGACTCCCTCCTTCTTTCATCAATTTCAAAATCTGCCTAAAAGTGTTTTTCTTTATAATTTTAATATCATCACTGTTGCATAGATCTTTTTCATATTATAGTTTGATTGCAAAACCTAGTATTTTAGACAACCCCTGATGCCCCCTTCCCAGCATACTTTCTGCAGTAACAGGAAGGCAGAGGTGTCAGATCACGTAGCAGTTTGTGTCAGGAGGGAGTTTCCCTATGTGAGGATAAATCTTTCCTCCTGGTTTACTTCTGGATTATCATTCATTTATGCCATCCAATGGGAACAGAGAATCCAGGGCTGAGCTAGAGAAACTAGCCCAACACATTGCTTGTCATACTGGTTACACAGTATATAGTTAGCAGTGTCTTTTGCACTGTTCTGAAGATATACTTCTGTATTTTTCAGATTGGGTCAAGTGCTCTTTTATTCTGTGTAGTTGTGCGTGAGTGTGAGTACTGCTCTCTGGGTTGACCAAGCAAGCTCTTTTTTTTCAGCAGACCAATTATACTTCTTATTACAGTCTTACCAGTAGTAGTCAACAGTTCTAGCATTTACCCCAAGTAGAAACAAACTCGAATTAGACCGACTTGTTCTGTACAATGTTTTCTATTTATCAAGGTATTTTTGAGATTGCCATGAGAAGTTGTCTTGGGTTTTTGTTTTGGTTCTTGGCAGACTGTTACAAAGAGCATTGTCTCCCATTTTGTCTTTTGGTACTTAAAGGATCGACTAGAATGTGTAATTCTGTGTATAAGAGAACAGGAACTCCTTGGGCACAGACAGAAGTGACAATTTGCACCTGATCTGACCACAGAAATCAGTCTATAGCCATGACCAAATACAAGTGCACAGCTGCAGACTGGTTAAACAGTAGCCAATCGGGCAAAAATCTGAACCCTCATTGTATGAGGGTTCAGATGAATCCATTTCAAACCCAGAGCATCTTCTGTAACTTCTGTCTGTGCTGCCTCCCAGCCTGTTGCTGTTCTCTGAATGGGAGTGGGGAAAGGGAGTGGGGGGAGTTCAGTCTGAGGTATTTTTCAGCCATTGCTGGAGTGTGGGACAGGTGTATTGAAGCCCCCCCGAGGTGAGAGGGGCTTCAATTCCAGGTCACCCACCTCACCCTCCAGCGCTGGCTGGAGAACCCCTAGAACAAGTTCCCCCTGCTCCTTTCCCCGCTCCCATTCTGAAAACTGCAGCCTCACAGGGAGGAGGGGCCATTGCTGGGGGAAACCGGCTGCAGCCAGATCTCCCCCAGCCAACAGTGAACTTCTGTTTGTTTCGGGGGATTGTTGTAACTCAGAACACTTCCTGCAAAGTATTCTGAGTTACGGGGGAGAGGGGGAAGCTGTGCTTCTGTCTGTGCCCCTTGTGATGACCTAAATAGATATTATGTATACTTCGTGATTTGTTTTTGTCTAATTCATCTCAAAGTTGTAAATCCAGTGGCCGCCTTTTTTTCTCCCTGATTGAAGTGTAGTTTGTGAACCACTAGCCACATGTTACTGTGGAGGTAAGATATCTTTAATGAAATCTTGGTCCCCTTGATGTAAATGGTAAGACTCATCAACTGCAGTGGGGCTGATTTTTCTCCCTTGTGAGCAGGCAGTATGGCTAAGTAGGCATAATTTCTTTTAGTACTCTAAAAAAGCATTGAGGTGCAAAACTGTTTGACTAAGATCTTAGAATAAATCCATGCTGGAAACATTCTTGCTGTGTACAAGGCACCTACATTTATTACTTTTTTATAACCCGTGTGAATATTCTGCTTAAACCTAGTTAATTAGGGATGAGAAAAGGAAAAATCTTCCTGGTGAATATTAGAGTTCCCTGCACTTTTAACAGTAAAATAGCTTTCTGCAGTGGTTTAAGACAGTGAAGTGTGAAGAATGGGCATAGATGAGAACAAGTAGACATTGCACTTTAAATTGGCTGACTTTTGAGGCTAATTTGTAACCTAATAATGTAACACTCAGACATTACACCTCCTATCCCAAAATACCTGGCTCATATGGCGGTACGCATTTTGCATACATTTAGGTTCATATTAGCTTCATCATGAATTCTGCTATTTGCTGAAACTTTTCAATTTTTTAGACTAAATTACAAGCTTTGTTATCATCTTTGAAACTGTTCGGATACAGGAAAATCCCTTCTAATATATTTTTGTCTTTATCTCCCCTCATGCCCCTCTGCATACACACACTAACAGTAGGGTGCTTCCTTGGACTTGGAGGAAAACCACTCACCCTTGTCCTATGTTTGGTATTTCCTATGTGGGAGTAACAATTGTAGGGATAGCTCTTGCAAAATATATATTTGCGTGAACAGAGGAAGGAAAATACCCAGTGTATTTTATCATCGTAAAAGCAGTGAATGCCATTTTCCCCCCCATCAGTCTTTCTTAGTGACATTGTTATTTTCTGCATCTCAGAAGTCATATTTTGAGTACTGGACTTTAAAGGTACTTAGGCACCTAATAGGTGCTTTTGCAAATCTCAGCTACATATTTAGGCACATCTTAAAAAGCTGTTCTCTGGGTAATTATTTTGAAAACAAGGATTTGTGTGTGTGTGTGTAAGTAAGAAAGAGTGCTCAAGTGTCATTATGTACCTTTCTTTTTCTGGATGGAAACAGGAAGATAAAAGCAGTACTCCTATTGTATTTGTAATTGGTAATATCAAATGTTTGTACTGGTTTAAATGCATGTGTCTATGTATGATTACAAGCCTTTCAGATATTTTGGGCAAGACCAGTAAATTCAGACACCGTATTTGTGGGATTATCATACTTTTATTTTAAGCAAATGAGACATCCTTGGGCATCTTCTTGTATCCTTTGAGAGGTATGTGCAATTACTAATTATTTTGCCTACTACTTCCTTCCTCCTGTATCCCATCACAGATGTTTTCCTGTCATGGATTTTTGCATGGCTCAAACATTTTTCTTTGTGTGTGTGTGTGTGTGTTGTTTTTTAATTTTTTTTAAAGCATGAAAACAGGAAAGGCTGGTGCTTCCTGCTCATAAAACAATACTTCCCATAAACTAACTGGGTTACAATCTCCGTCTCTGAATACCTTCTTTTTAAAAGATGAAGGAAACTATTCATGAGTGCTTTTTAATTTGTTTTGATTATTGAAATATCTTTATTATGAAGTCAGCACTATTTTTTAAAAGAACTGTTTAGTGAGGGCAAGGCCCCTTTCTGTTTTGCCAGCTGCAGTATTTGACACATTGATCTAATAAGAAGCATATTTTTGTGTGATGACTTTAACTGTATTGTCCCAACATAAACCATGTAGAGAATGCTGCACGAGATTAACACATGCAATGTTAAGTAGAGTATTTTCTTGCATGGTCCTTTTTTTTTTTATTTAACCCACTCACATAGCAAAAGAGCTAAATAATATCCTGGCTCTGTTAAAGACGCTTTGCATTTCTCACAAGAACTTCCTCATTGTTTTTCATTCTGTGGAATATGAAACTAATCCTTTATACTGGTCTGTTTTCAAATGTAAATGCACCACCTTGTTATATTGGTGTTTCAGTTCTCTTGTACTTAGGATGAAATATGTTAGAAAATAAAATGTACATTAGAGTCAGGGAATTGAGCCCTCATCCTTTAGTGGCTGAAAGAATTGCAAAAGCCTGAAAGAGAAGTGACACTCCTATAATCACTAACTGGTTTATAAAAGTTTGCAGTTTTAGTAATGGAAAAATTTTCCTATTAAGTCAGCATCCTCCAAGGGAGAAAGAAAAAGATACTTACCTAAAAATTTGGTGGAAGTTCTTGGAATATGCTGAAAAAGAGTCTTCACTTGCCTCCAAGCCAGAAAGTTTGAAAAACTTCTTTGAATATTGAAGGAGAGAGCAAGTTATATGAGAAGGATCTGCCAGAGACTTGGGGGTGGCCAGAAAAGAACAGAACACAAGACTCTCCTTTCTGGAGGTTGAATTGAGTCAGAGGGGCACAGCTGATGGATGATATCTGTCCTTATACCTCAGTTATGATAGTATAAGAGTGATATTGTAGCTGTGGTGGTCCAGAAATTACACAAGAGGCAAGGATTTGGGACCAATTACAGTAAAATATCTGTTCTCTGGCATCCCTGGGATAAGGGGATTGCTGGCTATGTAAAAATTCTGATTATTGGAAACAACCTGGCAAGGGGGTAGGGCGGGGGCAGTGTGGTGGCGGCTGCATGCTGAGCAGCAACAGCGCAGGGTAGTGGGTGGTGGCAGCGGCCGCACGCCAAGCAGGGGACAGGAGGGGTGGTGGCAGCCTCACGCAGAGCAGCAGCAGCACAGGGTAGTGGGTGGTGGCAGTGGCTGCTGCGTGCAAGCTTTCCCCTCCCTGTCCCCCACGTCTGGCTGGTCGCCCGGAAATTCCGGCTAGTAGTGTGTGCCAGTTAGTCAAATCCCAGATAACAGGGATTTTACTATATGTAGTTGGGATAGACTTAGGCACGCTTTTGAATGCAACATGTTCTTGTCTCAAGAGAGCTGTCAAAGAACATCTTGCATTCAAAAGCTTTCCTAACTCTATCCCAAATGCATAATCCAATAAAGGATATCACCCTAAAAAATCATTGCCTCTCTATAAACCTTTGGGTAGGACTGTCCTACCTTAATGGCAGGAAACATTGGTGCTAACAGCATTTTCCTACATAGCAATCAATCTTTTTTTTTTTTTTTTTTAATGTACTATTTTTTTTTTCTCTTTTTCCTTCTGTTTTTCCCCCACTAGCTGGTTAGCCTGTTGCTGATTGGAATTGCAGCATGGGGGATAGGCTTTGGACTCATTTCTAGTTTCCGTGTTGTTGGAGTGGCAATCGCAGTGGGGATCTTTCTCTTCCTGATTGCTTTGGTTGGATTGATCGGTGCAGTGAAACACCATCAGGTGTTACTCTTCTTTGTATCCTTTTTGATGTGGTACTTACAAGCTGACAAGCTGCATTTGTCTTACCAGCACACTGACATAACCTACACATGGACAAGCACCTAGTTGTGGTAGGCACTGCCTGAACTGGACAGAAAGACTGCCCTTCTGACAAAAATTATAATCTCAATAAAATCTCATTCCTAATCTGTGAGCCACCATTTTCTCTCTTCTTAAAGCACTTTGCTCCCATTTATCGTGTGTAGAGGTGGGTTTTTTCCTGTTTTGTTTTGTTTTTTTAAACTAGCTGTTCTTTTATTTGTATGAGGAAAGATGTGGCTTCTGTAAGAACCACATTACACAGTGTTTAGGAAGTCATTGGTGCCTTTTTCTGTGTGTTTTCCCTTACCCAGTTAAATCACAGATAAAAGTAATAGGGTAAACAATTAATCCGTTATCAATGAAAGAAATAATGACTCTGGGGTATGTGGTTTACAAGAATTGTTAGATTACATGTCTGAGTAATTATATATTTCTCAGGTGCCAGTAGGATTTTTGCATCCCAATGACATTGGTTGCACTTACTTCAGTTACCTTTTTAGTGCTGTTATATTTCTCCCTTTCTCTGCTTTCTTTCGCATCCCGTCATTAATTGTCAACCCAAATTAGAAATGAGCTTGGACCCAGTGCTCTGCTGACAGAGTGCCCCATTAAATTCCTGTTAATACTATGCAAGTAGTTTCTTGTGATGCCCTATGGTTAAATTATTATTATTGTGTTCTGTTTTCATGCTCGGAGGGAAAAAAAACAATTTATTTCTCATGAAGATGACACTATGATTTTCAACTTTTGCTAGTAGCTTAATTTCCAGAAGTAGACAAATGTCATTACACTGCACACACAACACCAGTGCCCAAAGAAGGGGATTTGTGCCTGAAAGCTTGTAATGAACAATTTTTGTGACTGTTTAATTAGTTTAATAAAAGATATCACATTTACTCAAAGAACCTTGTCTGCTTATGTCCTTTGATCAACATGGCTACAGCCAACAGCCTTCATTACACCACAGTAATCTACTCTAGACAGCATGTATATGAGTCTGAAAGCTTGCATCTTCAAATGTAATAATAGGTTTTCTTTTTACTTTCAGGAAGATGCATATAAAAGCAAATCTATTAAGTATAAGGCTGCCTATTTTAATAGTTCCTTCCTTGCTTGCGTTCATGCAGGTTAAAGTCACATCCTGTAATAAGTTAAGACTGAGTCACTGAAGGGGAAAAAAGAATGTTTGAACAAAGGGTGCTATCTGCCCATTAGGACTGCTTGGTCAATTATCTGCTTTGTGAACAGGAAAATAATTCAAACCCTAGATGACTTGGGTATTGGTAAAGGGAGTACAGAATTCTTCACTCCTGGGTCTCCAATTTTAAATGCAGCTGAGGCTTGTAATGCCTAAAGCAGGGTCCAGCAACGTTTTTGGGTAGAGTGCCAAAAACACCTGCAACCTCAATTTGTAAGATGTTGGCATGGCAGGAGAACCACGAAGGGCCCAATCCTTGTTGTGGCAGCACAGCCCCAGCCCCTTCCCTGCCATCCGCTCCAAGGCATGCATGCCAAGCAAAATGTCTTTGTGTAACACGCTCTGGCACCCGTGCCAGGGGTTGCCTACCACTATTATCTGGCAGCTGCATATCTATTTCTGAATGGCCAGAGGGTGCACTTTCTGTTTCTCTTTGGGATGCCCTTGTCTGACAGGTCCTTGAGCTTCTGGGCACTGCTGCAGTGTCAGTAAGATGTGTTGCATATACTTATAATAAAAACCATGAAAATTAAAATGTTTTCTTTTTATTGAATTTTCTTATATTTAGCCCTTTTAAAGTATTATAAGAGCATGTGATGAAACAGTATAGAAACTTTAAATGAATAAGCCATGCCATGCTCGTTTAGCCATGCTTTGCAGAGTAGCTCCTTTTTCAGGTATATACAGCCTTGTGCATAAGCAAACCAGCCAAACATAAGGGATTTTTCTTGTTTTGATGGTAAATTTGACCCTATTAATTGTACAGGATGGGTGTCAGATGTATAGCCCATGGGCCACAGCTTACCTGTGGAGCTGCTGTAGCCCTTCTAGGCCACTGGAAGGTAGGAGTATGACCAAGTTGGAGTGGCTTGCTATAGAATTTGGGTACTTGGGCCCCAGCAGACATGGCATTTGGTGATAGGAGGGTGAGAAAAGGTTGATTATAGCACCTGCTGTCACTATCGTGCCCTACTTCCTCAATTGCCAGCCCTGCCAATAAACCATGCTGGATATGCTACCATGTGTCCAGTGCCAGTGCTAGAACTGCTGCTGTAGTATGGGGCATTGTTTCTTAACCTGTGGGTCATGATCCAGAAGTGGGTTGCGAGAAGATTTTAAAGGGTCTTGGGGAGGTCTGAGGAATATGCTGCAAGGCTGCATAGACACAGCGGTGGGAGGAGGCGGGGCAGCAGGGCAACATAAAGTGGCAGGAGAGGGAGGGAGGGGGCTGGATGTAGCAGCTGAGGGGGAGATGGACAGACAGACAGACAGATGGACACTCTGTGGGTCGGGGACTGGGAGTGGATCAAGGCAGGCTGATAGTTATGCTAATGGGTCCGAGTATGAAAAAAGATTGAAAACCACTAGTATGGGGCACATGGCGGGAGCCAGAGCTACCACCACTGTGTGCTCTGGGCTGAATCCAGCCTGCCACAAGCTCCGCGGTCTGCCCTTCTGTAGAATACCATCACCCATTACTTTGTTTCCATGGTTTCAGCTCTGTGGATATGAAGACATATTTCATTTCTACGGATATTAAACCAAATGCTATACAGTGACAAAGAACGCCTTTTGTAAAAGAAGCAGAAATGTCTTGTTTGGAACCTACAGTTTCTTTACCTGTAAAATATAGTTTAGTACTGAGAAATATTGAAGTCCACAGATTGAGGACAATGGTAATTAATGTGTGGCAAATAAGCACTAATTCCATCATGAAGAGGTCTCCTATATTGTTACAAGAGTGAATATTTATCAGCTTCTATAGCTGCTACAAATCCCAAAATAAAAAGTTTGAATGATGTAATCCTGAATTTGATATGCCTTGTCTTTGTGTAGGATTTGAATCCAAGGTTCAGTTCTAATCACTTATAAATTTATTATGAAGAAAATCAGCTTTTGTGAGACAGAAACAGAACTGCAACACACTGTAATTAGGTTGCTTTTCCTTAAATTATGTCTTTCAGGTGCTCCTGGAGTCAGTTGTTTTCTTGTATTTCCATTGTTGTTTTAAGATGTTCACCCATCCAGTTAGAGGTTCCCAGGTTTTTTATATTCTTAAGCACCTTTAGTCAATTGCATACTGAGTATATGTTTGTTAAACTCCTTTACTGTATGCCCCAAGTTCTTCTGAAGATGTCTCCTTAACTGTCTTCTTTCAGTATATGATTATTCTCTTGCTAGTGTTTGTTGTCCAGTTCTCCGTCTCCTGTGCTTGTTTGGCGTTGAACAAAGAACAGCAGGTAAGAAACCTGAATTTTCAACTGAACACAAATGTTATATTGTAGATTACTAGTACATTAGATTGTGTTGTAGATTAATTTTTGCCTTGATGGCTTACTGAAATTATAATGTATGTGGTGTATTGCTTGCTCATGCCAGTAAGAGAGAATGCTGATCTTCTCAGTTTAACCAGTTAAGCTTTAAAAGAAGCTATTCATGGGCATTAGCAACTTTTGAGTTCCCAGTAGAAATGTGTGTGGGTTCAGTATTCCCATTAATCTGTCTCTTCTGACTCTTCCACGTCTAGTCTTTCTGCCCAGATTTATGCACAGCACTATGATACATCAGTTACGTCATGTGAAGTTCTGCAATGCCAGGCAAGCTGAACAAATATATGGTAATCTAAAATTTAAGATTACAGCCAAGGAGATAACGCTGAATTGCTCACATTATATGAGTAAAAGGTCAACCACTGCATTGGTTACAAAGGTGACCTAGAAATATGGAGTCAAAGTAAACAAAAGCATTTTCATATTATATAATGAATAAGGCAAGTAACCAAGGCAAGAAGCATAGGCAGCCTATTAATGAATAAAACCTTGTTTTAATTAAGGTAGCCACGGGAGGTTGCATATTGGAGTGGTTAGGGCAGTGAATTGAGACTTAAGAGACCTAGGTTCAACTCCTGGCTCTGCCACTGTCTTATTGAGTAACCTTGGACAAGGCCCTTTCTTCTGTGCCCTTCAGTTTCCCTGTCTGTACGTGCCCTGGTGGGGATAACTGAATCATTAACAGCACATTTTTTTTTGGATCTAGTGAAATGCAGGTCCCATTAAATCTGCAAAATACAAGGTAATGGGGACACATGGTCAGTCAATCAGTGATGCAACTGATGCCTTTCTGATCTAGTTAGTCTCTAAGCCGCTACCCTGCCCTACCTTTTTGCCTAACTGGGAACCTGTAAAAGTGGAGGATGATATATTGCTACTGTAAATCTGCTACATGAATTCTTATGTATTGCCTATCTCAGCCACTTTGTATGTTGTTTATTTCTGACTGTGTCAAAGTAGGGAGTACATGTATAGAACCATGGCTAAGGCTCTGGTCTCCAATGAAATATGAATGATAAAAAAAGGGTTGCATTCATTTAAATAAAGTTGACCTGTGTCTTCTAGAGTCAGCTTCTAGAGGTTGGATGGAACAATACAGAGGGTGCAAGAAAAGATATTGAAAGGAATCTAAATTGTTGTGGATTCAGAACCTTCAATCCAAATGACACCTGCCTTTCTGTAAGTAGATTACTGAGTTAAAACTTGTAACTTATCTTTGTTCTTTCTTTTTCAGAGGAGCATGCACTTGCTGTACCATATTTCCAGGAATAACTTGAAGCTTGAAAAAAAATCTTTTATATTTTAATGTTTGAAGTTTTATTGGCTCACTTTTATAATACTTAGCTACTTTCAGTGTTTAGAGATTTAACATTAGAAAGCACCACATGAGGACCTGATGATATTATTAATTATCATCCAAGAGCCTTTTAAAGCTGTTGGTCTTGAGTTAAATTAAGCAATCTAGAAACTAGGGGCTCTTGGCATCTAGTTACTTGTACCCATCAGGAAATGAAGCACAATCTGAAAGTTCCAATTTTTTTGTTACAGGATTGTTTTGTAAGCCATCAGTGTTTGTCATGTGCACCAATTATAGAGGAATATTCAGGAATGGTACTGAGATTCGTAGGAGGCATAGGTCTCTTCTTCAGTTTTACTGAGGTAAGTGACTACAGGGTAGCTTACAATGTGGTATGTCTGCTTCTATATCAAGTCCATACGCTCTAGGTTCTAGGAATCCCATGTAACTTTTAAAGATCCTTTGACATTCAGACTTGCATTTAGGCTCTGCTTAAATGTGTCAAAAGGCAGGTTTTATGTACTCAGCACAAGTATTTTTTCCCATAAGCGTAGCATCTTACAGCAGCGCTTCTCAGATTAAATTCTTAATACTACAGATAGTTAAATAATAGTTGTAGATATCAGTATGGTAGTAAGAAAGTAGCAGGACGCAGACAAATATATTGCAAAGTACATAGATGTTAAACTGCCGTTGGAGACTGAAATAATATTAAAAAAAAAAAAGCAGATGCAGAGAGAGTGTATGCATGTGCACTTTTTCCCTAGATGATAATTCTCTCTCAAAACAATGCATTTCTCCCTCTAGTAGTAATGAAATTTGTTTGGGTTTCCTTATAGTTAAAATACCATATTTACTTGAGTAGACGATGACCCTGAATATAAGATGACCACCCAATAATTAGATTCTATATATGGAAAATGTATACATTTTGTATACAGGTATAGAATTTAATTATTGGAGGTTTGCCTTGAGTTAGTCCCTCTTTCACTGTTATAATAGGGAAAATAAATCTGGAGTCAGGTAGCTGTTTTGCTCTCTGCTTCCCCCCAACTTTCTTTCTCTCCTTACTGTCAGATCCTGCTCTCTCTGAGCACATGGAAGTGAGGTGCAAATTTGAAAACACTAGCCTTGAAATTGAACATGGCTGTAGCAATTTGCATACAGTACCCATACACTTCATTCATTGAGAATCAATGTATGTGACCATTTTTTGAAACTACTCCAAGCTTTATCATAGGTACCCTATAAACATGCCGTTGAGTAGCATTTTGGGACTTACTTATATGTAGTATGAACTATGCATGATATTAGTTCAAAGCCAAAGGCTTATGATTTACCACATAGTTAATTGGGCTGGGCCCCACCAGAGTCAACAGCATTTCAAACCATGGTGACCCTGCAGCTCAGCACTGCCCAATATGTGTGCATACTCCAGATATACCTCCTCCTCCCCCTTTCCCTCCCCCACAAAGGATCCATGTATTAATTAGGCCCCACTCATAACTGGAACCAGGTGTTCTTTTCATGAGTCCTGGGATACTCTAAAACATTTATAAGCAGATGAGGTGCAAGGCAAACCTGGTCTGACTTCACCTCATGGAGGATGGGGCCACATTAATCATATGCTCCAGACTGAGTGAGGAGGCAGCAGAGGGATTCTGGATGAATTGTTTGGGGCCTCATTTTGTGATGTTTGCCAGGCATTTAAGGTTGGTGAGGAAATAAGACTCATTGGAAATGGGAAAGAGAGAGACAGCTCAGCTGTGAGGGTGAAGAGGAAGTAAAAAATGTATGCAGTGTCGTGGCTCACCATGACTTGAAAAAGAGTTGGCAGTGAGAGGGACTACGCTTACTGGCGACTGCTATATGTTTTCTTCAGATGAGTTATGCTCCCCTTAGTACCAAACATGAGAGATTAATGTGTCAGGGCTGGTGCAGGCCTAGAATTACAGTACCTCCAGGCCCAGTGCCAGTTCCCCCTGGGGGAGTAACTGCCCGTTTTCACAGTGCATGACCTGGTTTCTTTGAGTGCTGGCCTGGTTTTGTAGTACCATGTCCTTCTGAGCGCACGCTGCTTTTGGCAGCAGTTTAGTGATAGGTAATGTATTTAATGAGGTTTCCTTGTAACAGTTATGAGTTGAGATCTTTTCCCCATGCAAGTTGGGGGGAATAACATCTTGTATTCAGGTCCATATAGTACTAATGCAAAAGTTTCCTGAACTTGTGTGCTGGAAGTTTTATTTTAACTCTCAGTAAACTATTCTAATTTATTTAAATCAGATAGTGAAAGTATGCTAAATGTCTCTCTCTTTCTCCCCATCCCCCCCACAGATTTTGGGAGTCTGGCTGACCTACCGATATAGGAACCAAAAGGATCCTCGTGCAAACCCTAGTGCATTTCTTTGAAAGCTTTCCCAAGGACTATTATTTTTTCCTGTTTAAAATATGAATTCTCCATTAATTGGCCGTCTTCCACATTAAGGGTGCTCTAAGCCCCTGTAAAAGAACCTTCTGCATGGAGATATTTGTGCCTGTCTTTTTTTTTTTTTGGTTTCCCATCCTCACTTTCTAGGATTCTCTTTCTTGAAATAGTTTTGTCTATTTTATAGCCGAGCAGAAGCAGAACTCTCTTCTGAGCTGGTTAATTAGCTCTACTAGATCATAGCAGTTGATGAAGTTCACTGTATTCAGTGCATTTTATAGCACTTGGGTGTATTGCCTTATTGGGTGTAAAAAAAAAAAAAAAAAAAATCTAATATTGATTTACAAAAATCCATGTGCTTTCTCATTAAAGTGATGAATTGTGTGTTGAATGCCTGGAACTATGTGATCCTGTTGGAAAGTAGGATAAATTGTAGTAAGCTTATTTTTGTGTATAAGAACTGCCTCCCACATTGCTGTTTGGGTTGAAATTAATATAGAGAACACCTGAAATAATTTAAAAGGTTGATCAACTTATTTCCTTTCCTTAGATAATGGATATAAACAAACATGTTAACTGACTCCTGTTAACTGTTTTTTTCACAGCTTTAGCATTGCTTTTAAAGAGAAGGAAAATACATTTTTTTTTCATCTACATCTCAGCAAATGAGAGTAATGAATGAGGAAAATCAGGAAAATTTAGCCTATGGAGCTTAATTTTAAATGTGTACATTTTTTACTTTTTCTGGTAAATGAATGAGCTCTGGCACCAAAAAAGCACCAGAATCAATAATGATATTTCATCTCATCAGTGTTACAAGTGCCCAAGATGTTCTTATAAAACTATTTTTACAGTTAGTACAACAATAACTTAGAAGTGTGATACTAACGTTCATCCTCGGACTTGCCTATTTACCTTCACCCAGCAGTATATGATGAAGTATTGATTTGAAATGTGATTGATATACTGTAAAAATATTGTGGTGTTTTCAGTAGTTTGTTTAAAAATAAATTAAAAAGTTTAAAGGATTGTGTATTGTCATTTTTTCTGTGTACTGTAAAACAGGGAGAGGCTCTGTCCCTGATCCAACCTGCTCATGGAGGTAGAGATGGAATAGAAACATAATATACCACAGACACAGATGGTTAGAAGGCTTAATTCCCAGGAATGCATCATGCTTTCTACCATGCACTTTTTTCTCTGGATTACACATAATGAAGAACGTAAATGGAACAGTGGTTGTTTATAAGACCAGGAAGAGCTCCAACAAACAGAAGTACAAGAAGATGGTTCACATGGTGAAAACTGAGGAGATGTGGAAGATCACTATCTGTGGAAGCATCTGTGAAGAGCAAGGCAGCTAATGAGGGAGTAGGAGCAGGAGCAAATAAAGGATGTAGTTTTGTGGTGAGATTTGAAGGGTTTCCATTGGTATGCGAGTCCAGCCATCTCCCATTCAAGGCAGGGAAAACTGCATGGATTTCCCTATATGCCCAGTTTTTCTGAAGCAAGTCTCCACTTAAAGGTCCTGGAACAAAAATCAGCATTTGGATACTAGGTGAGAGGGTGGTAAATCCACTAGCAGTGCCTCAGCCAAGTTATTAGCAGAACAGCATAAGCTTTAAAAGTCCAGCCCATATTCTTCAGCGCCATCTACTGGAATTGTATCTATTAACTAGTTCATAGGAAACTTGTATTTATAGGCTCCTATACACGTGCAGAGAGTGCTCCGATGCACTGTAATTCCAGTGCCTTGGAGCAGACTCAATTAGTAGTTGTCTGGAGCGTGGAAATTAACGTGCTCTAGCAGCCTCCAGTGTCATGTGTATTGGCACCCCCACACTGAAAAATGGCAGTGGGGTGCTTTAAGCTAAAGCTTGTTTGAGCTTTAGTTTAAAGTGACCTGCCACCACTTTTGCAAGGATGCTGATGCATGTGATGCTCCTGGTGCTTTTAATTAGTGCAGCCCTCAAAGCTACACTAATTAAAGCTCCCCTTCCCCCACCTCTGGACCATGTGTATAAACTCCATATGTCTGTACTCACCAGGCAGGCCTCTTGTGGAACACTTCTTTATTAAAAGGGAAGCACTAGTGTCTTTGGGAGTCATTAGAATATTGCTGACATACAGGGATCCTGGTTTCCTCTGATTAAAACCCCCCCAATTTTTTAGATGAAAAAAAAGTAACTCAAAATACACATTTTTCCATGTTCAAAATGAAACACTACTAAGATATATTGGTATGGATATATATCTATATATTAGTGGTGTTTCATTTTGATCATGAAAAAAATTTGGATTTTGGGTTACTTTATTTTTATGTTTTTGTCAGTGAAAACCAGGATCCATGCTGATACATAATGCTATAACCATTCATGGCCTTTTTTGAATCGTAAGATATTTATAATTTATAAACTTTATTTATATATATTTTGAATCATAAGACTGCACACTGAAAAGCCAGGAAACCAGGAGGGAATTTTAAACAGGCAAAAACTCTTTATAAAATCTCATGGTTTTGGAGCATGGTCTGACTCCATGCTTTTTGAATGCTTCAGTTTGGCAGTACTGCTCATAGGAGAAACTGGCAGCCTTAGATGGTTTAGAAATGTGAACTGCTATTGTTGAGACTTGAGGGCCTAAAGAAATATGACTACAGTATCTGATGTATGTGGAGTGATTTTTCTTCTCTTTTTTTTTTTTTAAAGTGTTTTGAAAGAGAGTGAGTATTGCAGCACAGAGGATGTTTTAGCACTATAAACTACACTCGAGTCTTTCTATTTTGTGTATTTTTTATGAACATATATAATATTATATACTTGTATAAATATGTGCATGTATTATGTGTGTGTATTACTTCAGAATCATAAAAATTCTGTCCTATGCTTGAAGGTAACTTTTTTTTTTTTTTTCTTTGGAGATTGTTTTTATTTTCTGGGCAAATATGGCCACAATCCTTGTATGCTCAGGTGTAGATCTGAAGAGAAATGATTTCTAAACAAATCCATTGCATTTGGTTTGCTTAACTTCAATAAAAAAGAGAGGTAGTTAGCTATATTAGTCTGAAGTCAGGAAGAAGGGCACAGGTGGAGGTTAACCATTCCAAAATGTGTAAGTTTTTGTAGGTGATAGTCTACTTTGTGAGGTCAAGCAGCATCTGATGTATGTCAAGCTATTTCCTCACTATACTCACAATAAAACATTGAAACAGATTTCTTTGTCTTCCGCAAGGCAGCTATACACTTTACCTCATTAAAAATAATTGGTTACAAGATCTCAAAATATAACTAACTTCCTCCCCCACCAATTTTTTAATTTTTTTTTTTTTTAACAACTTCCCATACATGAATTACAAAATCTGTTCCAGTCTAACCTAACATTAAAATGAATGTATGATATCTGATCCAAAACTTAGCATGTAAAGGAAAAGTTACTATAAAATATTGTTAGATAAATCCTTTAAAGAACAAATAGACCAATTTTATAAGCCCCTAAATAACATACTTTTCAGTTTACAGTGTACTGCTAATGCAACAATGTTGCTAGGTTGCATTTTTTTAATTGTGTAAAGTGTTTTCTATGGAGCTATCTAAACATGCTCTTGCAGCTTAGTGGAATTCCTAGAACTCCTGTCATTTTTTGCTACTTCTGTGACATTTGACATTTTAGGTGCCCAAGTTAAACATCTCAGCCTGGGTTTACTTCCTTTCCAGGGAAAAAGTACAGAAACTACACAAAGCCATGTGGACTCAACAGATGTCTCTCTAGGGAACGAAGGGTATGTAGTTGGACATCTACATTTGAGCCCCTTCTTGGAAATTTGTATGTTTTAGGGTACATCTACACTGGCTCTGCACAGCTATCAGGGTTGCTGCCAAAATGTCACCCTGCCCTGTACCCTTCCCTCCCCAGAACCTGAAGGGTCACAGTGAGGATGCTCCAGGGCTGCCCACCACTGCTGCTCTTGAGATTTGTTTGTTGCATACCTGAGAGTGGCAGTAGCAGGCATCACAGAAACATCCTTGCCATCTTGTTTCCATGTGCCTAGCAGGAGCAGTTGGGTGAGGCTTATTTTTTTTCAGTGGCTTCTTCAGACCTGTGTTGATCCATTTTAGAAAGACCCTTGAAACCTTCAAATTTACATGGTGAGGAGCACAGTATAGATTAAGAGTGAATAAGCAAATTGCACCTAAGATACCCAAGACACTGACTAAGTTACTGTAGCTGGCTGTAGAGGGTAAGCTTACATGTTCTTTTTTAGGTTGTATAACTTAGACCAGTAACAGCAGTTAAAATACACATTAACTATTCAATGAATACATATAAATTAACCAGCAGTATCACTATACCAGCTATCTGTCTCCTGCAGACTGTCATTCTAATGCATATCTTAAACAGGCCTTTTTCACAATGATTCAGAAAATAATCTTAGTGTTGGATCTTTCTATGGCAAATACATCTTTGCTTAATCCAAAAAGCTGTTCTTATGATCATGCTATCCTGGTTTTTGAATAATTTTCTCAAATATTTGTCTTCAAGGAGCACAGTAGATATTTCTTTTTACCCTGGAGAGCCTTTTTCAGCAGTTTCTCTCTCCCCACGAAGAAAGAAAGCAATCCTGCAGCATGAAGTCGCATTGCAATTGGTAGCTTCTCTTTAATCAGAAAGTCCCCAGGGGAAAGTTTCTTGCCCATTATTATTTATTTCTCTGCTGCTGAAGCAATTTTGACTGCATTTTTTTTTTTAGTTTGGGCTCCTATTTTAATTCCAAAGGTTTACTTATTGGTGAGATTAATCTGCCTGTCATGTGGCTGTTGCCAATGTTGTTTCTGCTATCCCCATTCCCAGGATTTCAGCAAAATGGGTTAAGGGCTGGAATACATGTACTTCCCCTGCCTTCCACATTTGACATCATGCCTGCAGTGGTATTTGATTCCAGGGAGCACCCAATGACTAAGAAGATTACCTGCTCTTCCCCCTATTCTGGCCTGTCTAGAATATTTTTTCCTTTTCTTGTGAAGTGATCAGAAAGTCTTTCAGTCAGACAGGAGTCTCCTAGTTCAAGTCTTAGCAACATGTGCTATGCATTTTTAGTCTTTAGTTAATGCCTTGTCTTTTGCCACTTTGGACTTGCAAATGGGCAGCAACCTAATAGTAACCTAACATAACCTGATAGTAATGTAATATAGTGGTTTGTGCCTTCATTCCAGCCTACTAGCAAACCATTAGTGATGGCTCTCTGCTTTGATTCTCCAGCTCAGTGGCTCACCTACCTGTAATTCCTGGGCATCCTGTTACCCATTAGGTCCTTTGACAGTGCCTGCGGCCACAGAAAATTTTCCCTTCCACACTTTTTTTTTCATGATAACAGGTAGAAATATAGCTTATTGCCTGCAGTGCATTACTTGCTTGGAATAGTTGCCTATGGGTCAATGAAGGGTCATAGATTCATAGATTGTAAGGCTGGAAAGGACTTTGGAAGATCATCGGGCCCAGCCCCCTGCACCAAGCAGGAAAGATAACTGGGGGTCCGGTAACCCCAGCAAGGTGGCTGTCTAGTCTCCTCTTGTCGATTTCCAGGGTAGGTGATTGCACCACCTCTGGAGGGAGCTTATTCCACAGTTTGGACACCCTGACTGTGAAGAAGTTCTTCCTAATGATGAGCCTGAATCGTTCTTCCAGGAGTTTGTGGGCATTACTCCTGGTAGGGGGACCCCCTACCAGGTACCCTGTCAGCCTTCTTTTCCTCAGGCCAAAGAGTCCCAGATCCCTCAGCCTTTTCTTGTATGGCTTGCCTTTTAAGACTCTGATCATACAGGTGGCTCCTCTTTGGTCTCTCAAGCTTGTCCATGTCCTTGTTAAAGTGTGGTGCCCAGACCTGGATGCAGTACTCCAGCTGTGGTCTCGCCAGTGCTAAGTAGAGCAGAAGAATCACCTCCTTGGCTTTGCTGGAGATGCATTGATTGATGCATGCCAGAGTATTATTTGCTCTACTAGCTACAGCATCGCGCTGCCAGCTTATA